CTTGAAAAGCATCCATCCACAATACCCAGAAACATGAAGGGGGCGTGTACTGAGAATACCATGGAAGAAACCCTGCCACTGTAGGATTCAAAACGACCCGGTTGTGCGCAGCAGTTAAATCTGATTTCGTTATCACAGGAAAATCCAACAGGCATCCCAGGGGGACAAGCTTTGAAGGTGGCTATCTTTGAAGATAGTGCTGACATTCCAAATAACTACTTCTGCCTTTCAGAACTTTAATCATTGATATTGCAGACCTCACCCAAGGCAGAATCCTTCATATTCCTTTGATGCTGGGAAGGCGATCATGCGATAGCCATTCCCACAAGTGGTAAGGAAGGGGGGGGGGGACCTAGTGCAAATGAGAAGTGGAAACTAAAAGAGCAATTACAGCATGAGAACAAAACAGCAGCAAAATTGTCCATGACAGAAGTTTGTCATTACTGGGGGGGAGGTAAATGCAAACACAAAAATCAATTATCACTGGCAGTGTGCGCTGTGATGTTTTCAGTTGCTGGTTCTTAAACCAGTTCTTCTCTGAAAACTATACAGCATGGCAGTCTGGAACAGGCAGTTGTGCTCATGCTGAGAGGGCAGAGATGTAAAACAAAGCTTCCTTTTCCTCTCCGGCCAAGGAGAATTTATGGGACAGGTGCTTTCTTAGCCTGGTACTTCCTTTTCCTGTAAGACTAATATTAGTATTTTAATACTATTAGCTTTAAGGAGAATAAAACAAACAAGAACAATGAGAATGTTCCAAAAAGTATAATCAAATTGTTTCTCTGTGAATATTCTCTAGCTATTCTCTGCTCAAATATTTGCTCAATATTCACTGAACATTTTATATGCTTCGGTATTTCACTTCAATATTTTTAATTTTTACAGTATTCTTAATTGACAGTGGAATTTTTTATTTGACAGTACCTGACAGCTGGCATGCAATGTTATCAAGTACTTGACAGCATTTGATAGGAGGGAAACACCTATCAAAAAAATATTGATTATCAGCAAACAGTGGGCAATAATTTGGAAGCAGATGAGATTTTACATTTAACGGTTGCAAAAGCAAGAGAAGCCTACAGAACTCAGCAATATCTAATTTTGTGGTGAAATTTCATACTGAAAATTTTACACTCACAATTTGAGTTGTAAAACTGGAAATTCCAAATTTGATGTTAACAGACGTATCAATAACGCTTCAAGGACTTAACACTGTGCTTACAGCTTAATAGTTAAATATGAAAATCAGCTACTCAGTTTTATTTACTTTTCCACTAAAATCTACAGTTTACTTACCGCATTGTCACCAGCTTGCTGCTCCCAATGTTTGCCAGTTAGGCGTTGCTTTAATTATTTCCTACAAGCACTCATAAAAAAATGAGCAAGTTCTATAGCAAAGGATTATAAACGTAATCCTAGATAAACACCCAACTCTGTGCAGGGAAGAGCTAGACAGTCAGCTGTGTGTTTGCTGGTCACAAGCCTAAGCTGACCAACCCACAACCCCTGAATTAGTCATGGGTGCAGGACTGTTGAGAAGGATGAAAAAGGGCACATTCAATGGGTGAGTTCCTTGGATGAGATGAAGCGATTCCTTATTTCCCAGTGAACTGAGACACTCTGAGGCAATCAGGTTTGGCAGAGAAGTAGCCTCCAGTCTTTTCAGGCTGAAGCTAATTTGGAGCATTTCTCCAGCATCCCTATTTCCAGGGAATTATCGTTCTGCATTTGTGTAAGTTGATCTCTCCTTGGCAGCAGCCCTAGCGCCCAGACTAAGTTCAAGCTCCAAGGATATAGGTGTGTGGGGTGGTCATGTGGGAGGCAACACCTCAACTGGTATAGAATAGTTGTTGTTAAAGTTTATTTCTGCATCCCCTTTCAGCCGCAAAAGGTCCCATGGTGTCTCACGAGGGTTGATGCACAGACAAAATTTGAGTAAAAAGATGCAACTTGCAAAAATGTAAGGCTACAAAATCTCAGCATTTTAAAAAAGGCTGAAACCCAAATACATCCAAGGTAGGCACAGCAAGTGAAAAATCTTGCCCTTTGATGGCCCAGCACATCCCTCCCCACCCCATGCTTGGGAGTGTCCATTTTTGGGACAGGCATCCCCTCACTTTCTACCTTTCTCTCACCACCCTCACAAAGCAAAGGTTTGGGGCTGCTGGTGTGGAGCACGAAGATCACCTAGGCTTATCCATAATGATGGCTGATAAGAAAGAGCCAAGAGCGGCAATGTTCTAGTCAGACAAGGCAACGGGGCCAGGATTCTTACCACAATGATGACATCAATCCTTAGTGTCTCTCCAGGCTACTAATTCCCTCGTAGATTTCTTCCTCCACAGAAGAATACCCGTGGGGAAGATTCTCTGTCAGAATGCAAAATAGATTTTCCCCCAAGAAAAGGCTTCATTGATCCCTTTTCTTGCATATAGATCTTTCCAGCAAAACCCACACAGATTTTGTATTCTGATACGATGCTTTGGTATATCTCTTTTTATATTCCTGTCAGAAACACACACAAAAGTTACATGAGAATTGATCTTGAGTAATTTGTGGTTGGATTACACAAGAACCTTATGACAACTACCTAGCTAAAAATCTTAGAGCATAAACTTGCCTTTTAACCTTCATGGTTGCTATTGAGACTCTTTATGAAATATTTCACTCTTCATTAAGATGCACTAAATAGGCTTTTTCAGCTTTCATAATGAAAAAATCCCATTTTGTAAGTACTCACAAAATCAAATTAATATTAATTGTATTCAGCTGTGTGCCAGTAAGGGGAATTTCAATTGCTTCAACCAGAAAGTTAATTTCTTTTTTCTTTCTTTTTTCTGGAAGAGAACATTGAACAAAATGGGAGGTGTGGGTCATCCTTTATTCAGCTGGATTTGTTCAGCCACATAAGTGTCTTGCTTTCCTTTGCAGAGAATGCTATTCCGAAGGCCCAAGCCACCTCCAAAACCTGGCATGTATAATTCCTATTTTGATAACTTCCCTGGGTTGGAATAGCTGCAAGTGGGTGGTCTGTGAGTGTGGGGCATTAAGGTGGCTGGGAGGGGGTCAGTTTCCTCTGTTTTCCTCCAAATTTTATTGTTATGCTTTGAGAGGATCTATATTTCTAAACAGGTCTGGCATTCTGAGGATGGAGAGTGACAGAAATGTAGTATACAGTGGGCCAGCAACTTACATGGGGGTTACATTAGGGGGGTTTGCACGCAAAGGCAAAATCATGCAGAGTGAGGAAGACCCTCCCCAGTGATTATCCCTACCTTTCTGGGCTCTGGGAAGGTCACTCAAGGCCTCTGGAAAGCTGTGGGTGGCTCCTGCCAGATCTTGTGGGAGCCTCACAGAGCCTTCCAGAGTTTGGTGAGCAAGGTGGAGGGCTTTTCAAAAAAACCTCTGCAGGAGGAACACCTGGTGCAGAAAGAGCTTTTTACAGGAAGCCCTCTGGGAAGGTTGCCCAAGATCTCATGGGTCCTTCACAAGATCTCGGATGGCCTCTTCTAGCTACCCACACCCCAAATTCTCCGTGTACTTATTTCTTTTCATGCCACCCATGGGAACTTGCAACTGTTTAAGTAAATCACACATAAGTTGTGGGTCTGCTGCACTTAAATTTAAATAGAGTCAAAGTAAGGCCTAGTTCTTATTGAGGTGGTAAACCTATGTCTGGGCTGCACCATTTAAGACTGCAGAAGAGTTCTCACCCAGCCTTAACCCTGACATGCTAACTTTCTCTGTGAATAAGCCTTCAAAGCTATGAGCTCCTACAGCTCCTACAGCCCAGACACAGATTTCCCATCTCAGTGAGACGTAGGTCTAAATTTCACCTCATTCTTGCAGAACTGATATTGGTCTCAAAAGAAAGGCTGACTCTTCCTATAGTTCTCATGGCAATTGACTTATCATGTCACAGGGCAGGAGAGCAGGAGACCCCTCTTGTTTTGTACAGGTCCTCCATAAATAGTTGGCTTTGTCAATACTGCAGCCTAACCTGTGGCTTCAGGGCAGCTTCCCAGTCACCCTTCTCCAGGTGCCTTGTTTCCCCAATCTCCATGCCACTTTGTGACACAACAGTAGGTTAATCACCCTGTTCAGCCTGAATGCAATCCATGTCTTCTGAATCTTCATGAGACACTGAAACTCAAATGCTCCCTGGCACTATTTCACCTTGACCCACATTGAGGCTAGTTCTTGGTCCTTGCTGAACCTTGCCCTTCCTTTCACTGAAGTCTCAAATGGTGTCTTTATGTGGGAATAAGGAAAGGATCTATTCTGACACTGAACTCCCCATAGATTAAAAATTTGAGAAGCCTTCTTTGAGGCTGGTTCTTGCATTGACTCAGACAGTGCATTCTCATGGCAGAAGTAATTTAATTAGCTCTAAATCATCCCTGCTAGGCAATGTCAAGTCTGATTCCGAATATATTCAGAGTTGGCAAATTATCTTCAGTGATTTCATGTTGCCTCTTTGCTGCTTGTTCCAACATTTAATTGCTCTTTTTGCCAGGGACTTTATTGAAAGTGTTTTTATATTCCTACGTTGTATCTCTGGAATGAGTGGCTGGAGGCTCTTCCCGACTCAGGTTGCCCTGCTCAGGACATGGAGCCTCCACCTGCTGCTAAAGCAGTTCAAGAGCTAGGCCTGATTATATGCTGAAGCCAGACCCACATGCTGGCTTGTTCCGGTCCAGGTGTGCCACACATTTCCACACAGTCTGGGCCAAGTGTGGCACGCAGCACAAGAGAGGACAAGGTTAAATGAAGCAGACAGGTAATGGTGCTCTTTCCTTTTCTTACTTTTCATCCAGTCCTCCACTACCGGAGAAACCAGCCCTTGCCAGACGAGTAAGTAAGAACAAAATCAAATGCCACTGTTTCCTTTGAGACGGAAAGAATAACTGACGGTGCATGTGCACAGCTGTGCAAAACACAAACTTAGATTCATAAGAGTTGGAAGGGATCCTGAGGATCATCTGGTCCACCCCCTGCAATGCTTTCCCATATGGGGATCAAACCTGCCACACTGGTGTTATCAGCACCACGCTCTGACCAACTGAGCTTCCAGGCTGACAAAGTTTATGCTCTTGGGACAGTTGCAATAGTATAACCCTCTAAGTGTCCTGATTTCCCAGGGACAGTCCCGGAATTACAAAAGCCATCCCAGCTTCTGATTTGATCCCGGAATGTCCCTATTTACCCAGCCAGTGCTGCCACCACTGAGCTCAGGGTGGAGGGTGAGCCAGCACTTGTCCTGAGTGGCGGCAGAGAGGGAGCATCCCATGGCCTCCCCAGGGCCACTGCTGCTGCCGGCCTCCTTCCTTGGGCAGCTTGTAGCAGCTGCTGGAGAGCAGGTGAAGAAGAAAGGCTGATGCCACTTAAAATGAAATCAGGATTGAGGGCGGTGGAGGGTGTGTTTGCTGTGTCCTATTGATAATAATAATAATAATAATAATAATAATAATAATTTATTATTTATACCCCGCCCATCTGGCTGGGCTTCCTCAGCCACTCTGGGCGGCTTCCAAAAAATAAATAAATTTAAATACTGTAATACATCAAACATTAAAAGCTTCCCTAAACAGGGCTGCCTTCAGATGTTTTCTAAAAGTCTGGTAGTTGTTGTTCTCTTTGACATCTGGTGGGAGGGCATTCCACAGGGAGGGCGCCACTGCCTGGTTCCCTGTAAGTTGGCTTCTCGCTGTGAGGGAACCGCCAGAAGGCCCTCGGAGCTGGACCTCAGTGTCCGGTAGAACGATGGGGATGGAGACGCTCCTTCAGATATATTGAACTGAGGCCATTTAGGGCATTATTGATGAAATGGTGGCGGCACTCACCCTTCTTCTGATAGGAAATGTTCTGCGGGGGGGGGGGCAGGGGTTGAGGAGAGTCAATTGAGGGGAGTGAGAAACCTCCATATTTTCATCTGAGGAAGGTTGGAGGGTATACCTTCTGGGGGTACATACAGGAACTTTTCAATGAACCAACTTCGCTGTGCATATAACATGTCTCAGTTATCTTGAGGGAGGAAGAGCCCCCTTGAAGTTATGGCAAGGATAGCAGAAGAGATGGCAGTCCTGCCGCAACGGCCAAGGCTGGGTGTGTGTTGCAGCAGGGTCAGCAGGTGCCCAAGGTCCAGGCAACCAGGCAGGCAAAGCAGCGTCCAAAGGCAGTCCAAGATCAGGGCAAGCAGAGAGCAGTCTGATGGTGCCCCTGGAGCTGAGTTTTAAACTTGCGCCTATAACAACCTGTCTTGTAGTTACTTGTTTTAATTATCCATATCAGGTTAGCTCCCAGAACAAGCTCTATCTTTAATAGGCAACATACTTTTTGAGGAAATGGGATTTCCCACTGGGTTTAAAGTACTAAAACAGCAGTATGAAGAAACTGGTGCATGCTGCTTTCAGTGTAAGCAGTTTGCTGACTCCCTCTCCTCCTCCACTCCCACTCCCCATGGAAAGATGAGCAGCAAGGAAAACCCTTCTATTTGTTAACTCTACAAGCATAGGCTGAACTTTTCTGCTGCATTTTGTACTCTCTGCTCGCTGGTCTGTGCTGCCGTTTTAAACTGGAAGAAGAAGAGCTTTGCTGAATTGTTGACTTATACTAGCTGCTAATGTGAGGCAGCAGAATGTGTTGACTTATCCTGGCGACTAACATGATCTCGCTAATGGGTTCAGCTGAAGAAAAGGGCTGCTCTTGTGTGCCAATCCTCCACTGGTGCAATTTGCTCTCTAGGCTTTGCTGGGATTTAAATTGCATTTCCTTCAGTGTTTGCTCTTTCAGAATTGGCAGAGAGGATAGGGAGGGGAAGTCAGAGATTACTTACCATCCTGAGGGCGAAACGGGCAGTGAGAAACTGGCAGCTTTAGTTAATTTTGGCAGTAGTAGGGGCTTCTACACTGGGGCAAAACTGCCTTCTTAGTACAGGAGATTCTGTCAAAAGTCCATCCCTCATCCATTTTGCTGTCCCCATCCCATGAATGAATTTTTACTGTTTACACTCGTTATGTCACCTCATACAGGAAAAGGTGTCAGAGAACTTAACAGATAAATGCAATCAGATAAAATTAATTAAATTAAATACGAGATTTAAAACTGTGTACAATACCAAATTCCTAAAATGCTCACCCAGTGCTATAAGGAGAAACAAGTCCCATCCCACCAACAAATTCAGTATGAAAACTGCTGGCCTGGGGCAGAATGCAAGAACCTTGGGTTTCTTGGTGTGCTTGGGTGTGCTGACATCAACCTGGTCTTAGTCACAGTGATGTGTCTGCATGTCTTAGCAGTTATTGCTCCTTCTGCTGCTCTGGCCTGCAGACAGGCATAAACAGGGCCAGAAACATCTCAGGGGATAAGCTAGTCTGCCTGTAATCAAGCTAGCAAGAGGGTGGTGGGAGTTGTAGTCAAAAACATGCAGGGCATCAGGATGGGGAAGGCTGGGATAAGACAAGGCAAAGGGTGGCACAGTGGAGTACGTACTTTTTATGTGAGGCACGAAAACATACTGTGAATGATTGCCAGTGCCTCTAAGGCTGTCTGTCCAGACACATGGAGGTACCTCATCCAGAGTGGGACTACTGGCCCATCAACTCCTCAAATGTCTACTCTGACTAGTGGCAGCTGTTACAGGTTTTTAAAAAATGCTATTTCCCAGCCTAGCTACCTATCAACCAGAAAATGTGAGGATTTACGCCTGGGTCCTTCTTGCAAACTCTTGATCTACCAATGAGCTATACATAGCTCAGCGGTTGTTTTAGAGGAAGGTTTATTATAAAGGAAGGTTGGTCTAGTACTAATGGTCCCCAATAAACCCTGGAAGCAGAGACCTAATCTTTGGCAAATCCAGAACAGATAGGATCAGATTCTCTATCTTAACTCAGTCAGAGGTCACGTGAAAAATAGCTAGTGCAGATGGACGAAGAGTGATGCATGCAGTCCTGCTGGTACCAGCAGCAGCCTGGAAGCTGCTTGCCACAGGCATTGAGGGACTGGGCTATCTGTCAGCATCTGCCGTCATTCTGCTGAAGTTTGCTTGCTCTGCTGTAGAGAACAGAAGGAGAATTCATGACATCGCTTTTCCGCTTCCTCTTGAAGAAGCCCTTGCGGTTGTGTAACTCAGTGTGCAAAATATTTCTTGAAGCCAACTTTTCAGATCAAGAAAAACTAAGACAACAGGAGGGGGACAGGCTTTTCAAAGATGTGCCTGGTAGGCCAAGAAAAATGAATTTCAAGTCAAGGAAGTCTTGCAGAGTGTAACCTGATGCCAATGACCTGTTGTTTATAGCAGGGAAAGTATGAACTCATGTCTCAACTAGATGGCAAGGATGGCACCAATACATAAAGACACAAACTATCAAAACAGATACATTCCCCTGAAATCAGTTCCTTGCTTCAAACAGCATAGCATGTTTGTTACATGTTACAGTGGTGCCCCGCAAGACGAATGCCTCGCAAGACGGAAAAACCACTAGACGAAAGGGTTTTCCGTTTTGGAGTTGCTTCGCAGGACGAATTCCCCTATGGGCTTGCTTCGCAAGACGAAAATGTCTTGCGAGTCTTGAGATTTTTTTTTCACTCCCCCTTTATCTAAGCTGCTAAGCCTTTAATAGCCTTTTAGCAGCTAATCCGCTAAGCCTTTAAGCCTTTAATAGCCGCTAAACCGCTAATAGCGCTAATCCGTTAAGCTGCTAATAGGGTTGCTTCGCAAGACGAAAAAACCGCTAGACGAAGACACTCGTGGAACAGATTAATTTCGTCTTGCGAGGCACCACTGTACTTTCTCTTTAAGAGATAGACAGCAAATTGCAGCAGAATTGGTAACTGCTGCCCAGTGCGGACTGCCCGCCCCACTCCCCAGCTACGCTAGGTCTTTTGTTTTTTTGTTTAAGGATGATAAAGTACTGGAAACAGGGATCAAAATAATCTCTGACTTTTCACTCTGTGAAGATCAACACCGATATGCACAAGTGAAGCTTTCATTGCATTGACTGGGTTTGTAGAGTAGCTGGTCTGATGACCACGCAAGGATACGGCTAAGGTCAGTTCTGCGTCAGTTGGCATGAGGGAGAACAGGGCCACCAAAAGAGGGGGGCAGTGGCCCTGTGAGAGGGGTTAAAACTCACAGCAGGCAGGGGGGACAAAAAACCCCCCAATAAGACATCGCCACGAGTGCAAAGAACTCTTCTAAACATTTTTTTATTTCCCAATGTTACACATTTCCTATTTCGTGTAAAAAACTGAGGAAACCCCACTGGGTTTCTCTTTTATAACACAGGAAAGGAGGATCAGCTGAAATGAGAGATCAATATTCAACATGGATCGTTATTGGAGGTTGTTTTCCCCCACACAGCCATAATTTAGGAGGCAACTTAATTAGGCTGCACAAGAATGAGAATGTACAGTGCCTCTCCTTTTGTTTCCATGGATATTACCATTTCCTTTTAAAATATATATATATATTATTTCTGAATTTTCATTTTTAATGAACAACAACAGAAATGAAATACAATAGAGATCTCCTCTTTGACTCCCCTCCCCCCTTTTGTGGATCCTTATGTTGTGATTTCCCCCTGCATCTCCTCTATAGCTCCATAGTTCAAATTGTTAACTACAAGTTTTATGTCAATCCTACTAATTATTTTAATTGTTTATAATAATTTTTCAAATAGATTATGTACTTTCCCCATTCCTTATTTTAAAAAATGATTCTTCCTGTTTCGGGATTCTTCCAGTAGGTTTTGCCATTTCGCCATAGCCCATTAATTTTATCTTTCATTCTTCCTTGGTTGGGACTGCATCTTCTTTCCGTCACCAGCCTAACACAATCATGTGCATAAACAGTTTTTCCTGATATTTCCATTTTCTTGGCAAAGTGTTCTTGCCCATTTGGGCTATTTATGTGCAGTTTTCACAAAGATAGCCTTGGTTGTTTGACCACTATTTAGGAACCTAACATTAGTACAAATTGTTCCAGGTTGATTAAAAGCTCCAAAAGCTTTTTCTATTTATTATTTTAAACCATGGCTTTTTAAATATATTTTTCATAGTTTTGTCATAACTATTCA